AGTGGTTGAGAGTCCACCTGCCGATGCAGGGGACTCGGGTTCGTGCCCCGGTCCGGGAAGATCCCACATGCCGCGGAGCGGCTGGGCCCGTGCGCCATGGCCGCTGAGCCTGCGCGTCCGGAGCCTGTGCTCCGCAAGGGGAGAGGCCGCAACAGTGAGAGGCCTGCGTACGCAAAAAAAGAAAAGAAAAGAAAAAAAGAAAGAACAGGCGTGGAACTTCCCTGGTGGCACAGTAGTTAAAAATCTGCCTGCCAATGCAGGGCACACAGGTTCAATCCGTTGTCCGGGAAGATCCCACATGCTGCGGAACAACTGAGCCCGTGCACCACAACTACTGAAGCCCATGCACCTAGAGCCCGTGCTCCACAACAAGAAAAGCCACCGCAATGAGAACCCCACGCACCGCAACGAAGTGTAGCCCCTGTTCGCCGCAACTAGAGGAAGCCGGTGCACAGCAACGAAGACCCAACGCAGCCAAAAGTAAATAAATTTATTTTTTAAAAACTGAACAGGAGTGAGTCACCTAAATGTGATTGTTTTAATAGCCAAATAGCTGTGATTCAAATACTTTAAATGGCTCTCGCTGGTGACAGAATTACGGTGATTTTTATTTTCTCCTTTGTGTTTGCTTGAAGCACCCAAATTTTTACAACAAACTTGTGATACATTATAGTCAGATGAAAAAAAGTTCATTCTGAAAAAAGTAAACTGTTTAACATTAATATCTTGAGATGACATCACAAAACCATTCAATCCCATGAGTCAGCCAGAACTTCAGCAGCTACTAACACTAGTTTTGTGATTCTCGCAGTAATTAAGTGAACTTGTACTACCAGATAATAAAACATGACGACACTACAATAACGTAATGTGGTACACACGTTAAGAATAGACAGTGGAACCAAATACTCTAAAAATGGAATCTCATACATATCTATTTAAAAAGAATTTAGTATATGGTAAAGGTGGCATTACTAATCATAGGATAAGAGAAAGTATTATTTAATAAGTGGTGCTAAAAATAGCAAGTTAACTATTTTAGGAGGAAGATAAATCACTACCTCACAATGTACAACAATACATATTTTGGATGGATTAAAATGCTAAGTGTAAAAGCTATACTCAGGAAACCTAGCAGAAATACATGTGAATTTATGATAAGACCTAGAATGACTTTCTAAGCAAAATGCTAAAGGAAGAAAATAAACCAAAGAGAGAGACCAATTTTCTTATGAACGTGGTATATCTCTCCAGTTATTTAGATCCTAATTTTCACTCCCTCTCACAAGTATCTATGGATGTTGGGATTCTCGATGCTTTTATTTTCTTTCTCATATTTTAGTTATGTTCCAAGGTTTCTATAGTGATCATATAATCCTTTCATAATAAAAATTATTTTAAAAATAAATGTTTAATGAAAAGACTAATTTAAAAGATCTTATAGGGCTTCCCCGGTGGCGCAGTGGTTGGGAGTCCGCCTGCCGATGCAGGGGGCACGGGTTTGTGCCCTGTTCCGGGAGGATCCCACGTGCCATGGAGCGGCTACACCCATGGGCCGTGGCCACTGGGCCTGCGCGTCCGGAGCTTGTGCTCCGCAGCGGGAGAGGCCACGGCAGTGAGAGGCCCACGTACCACAAAAAAAAAAAAAAAAAAAACTTATAAATACTATAAACCCTGTTAAGTATCAAATGCCTGATGAGAGTTGAATACCAAGAGGAAATTTGTGCATGAACATTGACATGGCTCTACAGAAAGATTTCAGAAGAAACTATGCTAGTCCAGAGAAAAGGGAATGAAGGAGAGCTTAGAGAATAATTAATTTTCTGTAATAATGCTCTCAATTCAGTTTTGATATCATCTACCACAAATCCTTGCCTTCTCCTAGTAAGCAGGGAATGGAGGTTATTTTGTGCACCAGAAAAAATCAAAGCAGCCTCTTGCAGTTTAACCAAAAAGTCCAGGGTACGGGAGGCGTTAATCAAGCAGCTGCAGTCTTTGTTATCTGTGTACCTTTTTTTTGTTTTGTTTTCTTTTGTTTTGTTGCGGTATGCGGGCCTCTCACTGCTGTGGCCTCTCCCGTTTCGGAGCACAGGCTCCGGATGCGCAGGCTCAGCGGCCATGGCTCATGGGCCCAGCCGCTCCGCGGCATGTGGGATCTTCCTGGACCGGGGCATGAACCCGTGCCCCCTGCATCGGTAGGCGGACTCTCAACCACTGCGCCACCAGGGAAGCCCTGTGTACCTTTTTGATGCGCACTGAGGGATGGCAAGGACAGTGTGACCTTGACAGCCATGACAGGCAGGCACTAAAAGCAAGCAGCAGTGTACTGCTGCTCCACAGCTCTGTGATGCATGAGAAATCTTTGTTAACCTCTTGGAATATCACCCCTTGGAGACATCACTGCTTTTTTTTTTTTTTTTAAATACATTCACTACCCAAATGTTGCCTGCAGACACAGCACAAACTTAATGGCTCTATATCAATTTGCCTTTGAAGAGAGTTCTGGCTCCACGGGATGCCACAGACATATCAAGGGGAAAAGAGACACCTGACAGAAAGGGAAATGTGTGCTTCCCACTTCCGCATGCCCCAACACATAGAGTTTCAGATCCTGAAGCACAGAAGGGGGCTGGGATCAAGTCACTGCCTCTTGGCTCCAGAGAGTCCTGTCATTTATATCTGTGTATTCTGAGCTAACATCCTTATCCAGACATATGTGGGAGAGGTGAGAGCAACATCACTGGCCTCAAGGTAACAAGGCCAATTGGAATTTTGAAGACGTAGAATTCTTTTGTCCTTCAAAGAAACATCCACGTTAAAAGTTAGCCTCGCCTCTCAACAAATAGTTTCACCATCCTGAGTTTGTCTTGTGTCTTCCAAAATGGAAAAAAAATTTTGCACCTCACACTGCTAGGAAATCAATATCCCCTCCTACCTCACCCCCACGCCTCACAACTCTAATCTACCAGAATATTCACAAATTTCACTAGACCAAATGGCAATCAGAGTATCAGCTTCATTAATGGCTGATATTTAATCTTTAAAAACACAAAATAAAGGCAGATCTCTAAGGCCAAGACTGGACTTCCTTTCTGAAATGCAATCTTCTCCTTGAAATGCAAGATCACCCTCATACATCCTGTCAGGTACTGGCGAAGAAGCTGGGCCCAACAGCGAATCTGCTGAAACAGGTCCTGTTCAGTCTGCTTACCTCATGGGGAAAGGCAGTGCTAATCCCTTCTGCCCTTCTTGCAGAATTATAAGACAAGCAGAAAAAGAGTAAAGTCAGATTCTCACTTTGAAGGCATATTAACTACCCACTGTGTTGTACATGACCCTAGATTTACACTCCCCAATTAGCTATTTATCTTCCTTTCAGGAGGGTGAGCAAAAGGTGGTCAGAGAAACAAGAAATGTTTACTCCAGGACTGCCTAGGACTAAGGTGGAACTACAAAGGAACGGGTTGGAGGCCTGGCAGAACAGAGTATCCTGAGACTTCAATCTTAAAGACCCAGTTTACTACAAAGCTCAAAGAATACGTTTTCAGCAAATGTTAAGAGTGAACATCAAGGTGGGGTGATCCTAGCGGAGGGAGAATTCTCAGGTCTCCTCAGTTTCTGATAGCAGATGGGCTCAGGCTGGTGACAATGGTATTCTACTTGTCCAGCGAGAGATCCTGCCAGGTTGCATGAAGACCTATCACTATGAAATTCTGAACAACTGTTTTATATGGCTGCAAAAACTAACATTAGTTAGCCACATCAGCTGGCTCTACCATCCAGTTCTAAGTGTACTTAGTTACAACTCCATTGGCACCATCTTGCTTTCTTATCCGAGACATTTTAGTAATAGATGGGCAGTCACATGACAATTGTGACATGACCAGGCCATATGCTTGCCCAAACAGGTATCTAAGAGAAACTGAGCACAGCAGACCTAGCCCCTTTTATATTATCTCCATTTTACAGATGAAGAACTTAAGACAGAGGGTGGTTACATAACTGTCCAAAATCACAGCTAGCGTGTTGTAGGGCCAAAAAATTGAACCCGAGTGATCTAGCTCCAGAGTTCATACTCAACCAGTGCACTGTGCTGTGTTGCAAAACTACCCATATATGTTTCTAAGGAAATATGCCCTACTAAGATCAAAAGAAAGAGTGAGCTTTGCTCTGGTTAGAAAAGGAAAATTAGCCTCCACTCAGATTGTCACCCAGAGCCACAGACTTAGAATTAATAAGAAGCTGAGCCATCATCTTGTCCAATCCCCAGTCCAGAGCATAAATCCTTTCTATAAACCTCCTGACAGATCTTATTTCTCCTAGTATGCCACAAATATCACAACCACAAGAGGTAGCATTTATTAAACATACACTCTGTGCTTCATGTAAGGTATCACATTTAGTCCCTATCAGATAAGAAGCACAGAATTGCCATTTTCAGATAAAAAATTTAAGTGTGAAAGGATCTCATACTTTGTAACTAGCAAACTCAAGATTGCCTACTGGAAAGGGGTCTAGGAGTCAAGATCAGGGTGCAAGCCCTTGCCAGGGAGGGGCAGCAGTACACTGTGCACGGCACAGCTGTCGTCTGAGCCCCCTGGTATGGCACATGTGCTCAGTAGGGTTGTCTCTGTGGTTGTTCTCTGTGCCATCACTTTATTCTTTCTGCTAGCTGCCTTTTTTGCCCCCTCTCTTTATTTAATCTGTTTTATCTTTTACACATCAGCAGTCATTTAATGAGACTGACATAGGCACTGAGGATAAACCAGTGAACAAAACAGAAATCCTTTCTCTCTTGGAGCTTGTATACTGTTGGGGGCAGGAGAAGTGTGTGTGTGTGTGTGTGTGTGTGTGTGTGTGTGTGTGTGTGTGAGAAATATATAGTCAGAGATATCTAAATATATCTATTATCTATACATATTTACTATAATATCTATCTATAGACGTATCTATCTATAGACATCTTCTATAAAAGATATCTATATCTATCTTTCTGATATATCCATCAAATAGATGGATAGATGCAGAGAGAAAGAGAGAAAGCTTTGGTGATCAGTGTTATGATAAAGTAAAGCAGAGTAAGAGAGACTGAGAGTGACAGAGTATAGGGAGGAAGATGGAATTTTATATTAGATGGTAAGGAAAGGCTTTCCTAACAGAGTGACCTATAAGCAGAGACTTTATTTCATGTACTTTTGGGTCCTCATATCAGAGAAGGGATGGGGTCAATAGTATATCCCCAAAGTAATGTCTACATATCTTCATTCATTCATTCATCTTGGAGTATCTTAGACAAAGATTTCATTATGCTAGACTCTGTGGAAGACACAAAGATGAAGAATAACAACTAGCTGTCTTCAGTTGGTTCCCTGGGTTATATACTCTGAGACTGAGATTTGTGTGCAGAAAGGAGTTTATGGGGAATGCTCCAGGGACAACCCTGTAAGACAGTGAGGGAAGCAGCATTGGGCAGAAGGACATATTGACTAGTCTTATAGGGAGCTCTAGAGCTGGGATGGCCCTACAGAGGCCAGGCCGACAGGCGTTTGAACTTTTGCGTCAACCAGTCACTGGATACAGGCTGTCCCTAAGGACAAAGTGAACTCTGGCTAGGCTGCTCCCCTCTGCAGAGGGCAACTGAAAGTGAGGGACTTCAATCCCACAGCAACCAACACTCCCAACAAGTGCAGAGATGAGTGAATTAACACCACGGTCCTGGAGGGAAGTCTCCACGACGCACCACAGCACTACCTGTGCCAAATGTTTTCTCAGTAGTCAGCATCATGAGATTGTTAAGAACATGTTGGGTCAGAGCGTCTGCATAAATCCTGTCTCCACCATTTGCCAATAGTATGACTGTGCCTGCGTTCCCTTGTCTGTAAAATTAAGGTAATAATGATTTCTACTTCCTAGGGTGGCTCAGAAGATTAGATGAGTTGGTATATGTAAAATGCTTAGAAAAGCACCTGGCATACCATGGTAAGCATCAAATAAATGTTCGTTAGGATACCAATTTTCTCTTTCTGCTCTCAGAACATCTCCTGTACATATTACTATTTCCATTTTAACAAACAAGCTTAGAAAACTCATTCAACCTTTCTTTCCCTTCTTTGCTTTGCAGCCCATGTGGTTTAGATGGGGCTGGCCCCACCCCTCAAGCTCTGGAAATGGGCACATGACTTGAGCCTGGCCAATCAGAGCAGTGTAGAGCCTGCTGCAGGTTTTGAAACAAGCATCCACCTAAACTGAGACAAGAATTTCCTCCCCTAAGTGCTTTTGCTGGACTTTCTCAGGAAAGCATGCTCTTTCTCCTGAAAATCCTAGCTCTAAGGATAATATAAAGATTCTGAATTTCTAGGAATCCTCTTTTCTAAATTTTGGAGAGAGCCAGCCTAAAAATGAAGCCAACCCAAAGCGAACAAAGCCAATATATGAGAGACAGATTCTTAATGACTGTGTTTGAGTTCCTGGATCCTGGAATGCCTAAAACCAAAATTTGGGGTTTTGTAAAAACATGAACTAAGAAATTCCTTTTTTAAGTTGGGTTTTTCCACTGGAAATACTTGGTTAGGTCAGCACAGCTGAGCCAGCTAGAACTCAACTCTGAATTCTGTGGAAGTGAGCATAACCCTGGAGAGTTACCTGAGATCCCAATACAAAGAGAATGAGGCATCAGTAAGCAATCAACAACCACAGCCTAGAAGAGCCCCGTCAAAAGGAACGATAATCCCTGATATGGATGTGATGAGAATGGCACTTCACCTCTCTGCTGTCACAGGAAGAGGAACCTAAGGAAACATGATGACTAAATGTAATGTAAATGTGGTAGCCTAGATGAGATCCAGGAACAGAAAAAGGACATTATGCAGAAATTAACAAAATGTGAATAAAATATGGAGCTAATTAGCCAATTAGCTCCTAATTAGCTAATTTTTAAAAAGGGGGACACAGGGGTGGGGGAAGGAATAACCTCTGCATTTACTACCAGTTAGTCTTTGCTCTGACAGCTGTGTGGCCTAGGAAGATGAGGGCAAAGCAGGACGGCCTCAACTCTACCAACGGGAGCTGCTTCCATCTTCCTGGATTATACCTCTTCATCACAAGGCCTCTCCCACTCATTTAGCACATCACGCTCTGTGCAAGGTACTGGGGCTCAAAGATGTGCAAGCTATGGGCCCACTCTCAAGGAATTTCCAGTCTGGGTAGCACCGGACAGAAAGGGTGGGTCTCTTGGCTCCAACAGTGGCTCTTAGACCCACGGCCTCCCCAGCAGATCTATCCTTGGGGCTTGGCTTGGATCTTTCCATCCTTGGTGTGGAGGACCCCTTTACTTCAGACAGTTGGGTCATTAGAGGAGACAGGAGGAAGGGAGAAAAAGGAGTTGGTTCAGTTGGCTGGCTCTGAGAAATGACCAGAGGCTCTTAAACCTATCCAGATCCACAATCCCTTTTCTGAAATCTTTGAGGCAGATATACTTCAGAATTGAGAATTTTTCAGAATTTAGAAAGCAAATATAATGAATTACTAAGACCTCCAGTAGAATATGGGGCCTTACCCCATAATCAAATGTATTAATATTTTATCAAATATTATCAAAACAAAACACAAATATTCACTCTAAGTGGGATAAATATAATGATCATAAATAATCTCATATGAATTCCAGACAGGTTTTGCCACCAATGAATTTTGGTGCCAAACTTACATTAAAACTCTTGGTTTTCAGAGCTTTGTGAGTTAGAAATTTGAATAAGGGATTGTAGACCTGATTAACCTTTCAGCTTCAACCCCAAGAGAAAATCAGTAGTACTCCCCCCATCCCTTTCCACTCTCCCTCGAGCTGTGTTTGGTTGATTTCCTAACACTGCAGGAGACCACCTTTAATGTTCCTTTCAAACTTCTTTCAGCCATAGAACAATGACTGTATTTTGGAAGGAGTTGGCCTGAACTGGTTTCACTGCCTAACCTACTTCCCTTAGTTCTCCCCACCTCATCCACGCAGAACTTACTCGGAAGTTCTTAAACTTGAGTGTGGATCACAATCACCTGGGGTCCTACACACATAGTTTCTGATTCAGTAGGTCTGGGATCAAGCCTGAGAACTGCATTTCTGACAAGTTCCCAAGTGCATCACTTAGACGGTGCTAGTCCTGAACCACACTTTAAGGACCCACTGCTTTACTTGACGGAGCTTTCTCATTCCACACTGAAGAGAAAAAAATCAATAAATACTCAAACCCATTTTTTATTTTCATGAAGACTATCTCCCAAGTGACCCCAATGTGTATTTGATGACTCACAGCTGCCTGCCTGTCTGACACATAGAGAGACAGAAAGGCAACTGGATACTTGTGAAAAGCTTGCTTGCCATGAGATTTTGGATGGGATGTCACCCTGAAAAGCCCAAGCTAGGCTCTTTACTGGTATAGGAATCAAAACATCAATGCTAACGGGGATTAGGGAGGGGGGTTAGACTTTGATTTTAAAGAAAATTCCTGAATTGAAATTTCTTTCCCAAACCATTGTATCATGTTGCTATGTGAAAAAAAAAAAAAAAACTTTGCAAATGATCTTCAAAAGTCATTAAACATGCAAAATACTATTTTCCTTTTAACGTACATAACTGTCAGCCAACATGGAAACTAGCAGACATAGATTCACTTCCTTTGGGAATCAGGAGGTTGTACAAACTCCCGTGAGTTGATTTTCTTAACTTCTCTACTTACAGGCCACTTGCTAACTTCAAGATATCTTTTTCACACCCACACTTTTTTTTTTTAAATTCTCTTCTTCCATCTTTATTTTCTAGATCTTATGTGCTAAGTCCAGAAAAAAAATCTCTCCTCTTCTTACTCTGCTTCAATTCTGAGGGGAAAAACGGCCAACTTTGAACAAACGCAAGAAGGCTACCCATTTTTAGACTAACTTAGACACAAGAATCAGTGCCACCAACATCTCAATACAAAGGTATTTTTCTTCTTCATGTTTCTCTAACACTACGTTTACTGAAACAACCCTGATAACTAAAAATGTATTTCTACTGAATCTGGCATCTCCTTCATAGTTTTGACTATTCTACCTGTATTCTTTTTACTTGCTTCAGTTACAAATTGCATTATTTAACCTATCTCATGGGTTTAATAGCTTTTGGAGGGTTGATCTGAAAATCTATTCGTGATTTATAATTTTTGTAATAAAGGGACATATGCATTTTTGCCTCAATAAATATCTACAAGCCAATCCATTTCTTGTTCAAGGATTAAATGAATTTCTGTAATCGCTTAAACATGGAACATGTATTTAACAAGAGAGACCCTTAATGAACATATCTTGGCCTACACATAGATTATCAAGTTGAATTGTGTGATTATTTACTTTTCAAAAAGATTCTTTGTTTTTCAAAAGAACTAACCAGTTTCCTTTACTTAGTCCCATGTTTGACCCGCACACATTTTCATGCACACAGCTGTTGCTAAAAGCAAATGTAAAAATGAAATAGAAATGAAGAGTAAGTATCATCACACTTATTTTAGGCCTGTAGACTCTGCCTCCTTAGATTGACTCCCAGTTCCTAAAAGAAAGGCTCAAAGCATGTACCTTTCCATGTGGATGTTAGATTGAACATTAGCAGACATGGCTACATGCCCTCACCATAGCTCAACAATAAGTAGCCAGGTGAAACCTAGGGCTAGGGATGTTTAGTGATGCCCTATGCATAGGGTCACCAAGAGCAAGAATTAAAATGTCTAAAGAGCAAACTACAGTTGACCCTCCCTGAACATGCAAGGTTAGAGGCACCGACCCTCCACACAGTAGAAAACGCGAGTATAACTTATATTTGGCCCTCTGTATACTAAGTTCCTCTGTATCCATGGTTCCACATCCACAGATTAAACCGACCTCGGGCCCTGCAGTATTATACTATTTACGATCGAAAGACTCTGAGTAAAAGTGGACCTGCGCAGTTCAAACCAGTGTTCAAGGGTCAACCATATTTGTTTCCAAGTATCTTTTTTCTGAAGCTCACCCTTAAAGGCAAGAGTTGTGTCTCAGAAAGCTCTGCCTCAGGGGAAACCATTCTAAAATTAAGGCCCATGCCTGTTCTATCGTTCAGCTAGGGTCCCTGACTCTAATCCTAATTCCAGTTTTAAGGATGGGGCCTATAAATGGATTTTTAACATTCTCTCTGTTTTATGCCTTAAATGCTCTTATATTTTCATATTCCTTAACTATCCTTTAAAATATTCAGCCCTGCTTCTAGAAAAGGACCAGGTTGGTATTTGTCTCAAAGATACATGCCTCCCATTCTCAGGCTACCTGCCTCTGTGAAAATAAGCGAAGAATCCCATAACTCACTCACGATCTGAGAAGACCACCGGCCAGCAGGGTGTACACCTTCCTCATCCAGATGCCACTGGGGTGAAATCATACCATCAGTGAGAGACAGAACGCATATTCACTGGTACCTACTATGTGGCCAGTGTTTGCTAGGCTAGTGGTATGAAGATAACCAACTTACTCCCTACCCTCAAAGGACTCAGAGTCAATTAAAGGGATCCCTTCTTTAGGGTTAATTATTGTTCTTTCTCTGTAGTCCTCTTAATATGCAACTACCCATGGGTAAAATGAATAATATAACATGCTATGAATTTGTTCATCAGGTCTTTCCTCCCAATCCTAAAGTATCTGTGGGAGAAGACAACTTTTAAAGAAAACAATCTTCTCAAACCTCTGAAAATAAATACAATGACTTACATACCCAGTTTAAGAAAAACTCAACTCTGTCACCTTAAAGACTCACTTTGCTGCAACCTGTGTCCTTTTATGACTGAGCCATTCATCTGCCATTCCTACTGTGAAGCACTAGATGGCACCAGAAAACTGCTGCATCAGAGTAACTGCGCAAGCATGCTTGGCTTTCAATGTCCCCTTTCTCACCAAGGGGTCTCAGCATTTCACATATGGTGCCTCAAATTTGCCATTGTAGGTATCATTTTCATCAGAGAGGAGCTAAAGAAACAAAAATAAATTGATATTCTAACAGAAGAAGCACCTACCATTATCATCGTCAACACTGATTCAATTGCTAGGGGCCAGCAATGTGGCTTCAAGGCAACTTCATGATTTTCCCAGCAACTCAGAGTTCTCATTTTCTCATATACTAATTAGATCCAGAATCTCATCTACCTCCCTGAGAGGAATGTGTGAGAACAAAATGCCATAATGGATTTGAAAGGCTTTTGTGAACTGTGACGGGTTATTAATTGCCATTAGCACACATTTCCCCCTGATATCAGAGCTTGTCTTGAGGCAACACAGGCTGTGAAGGGAAAAGCAGTTTCTCTGCAGAAGGCATGAGGTGCTTCTGCCTGGGTATGCAGTGTTTCCATTGAGCTTGGCCAACATACTCAACAGCATACAGTGAGGGAAGAGAAGTGTTATTCAGTATCTAGACACCAGGGATTTGTTTTCTCCACTCTCTGGTTAAAGTATCACCCCGACTCAGTTCCAGTATCAGGCAGAAGCCTCGGCACACTCATTCCCTATCCTCTCAGCAAACTCCACGTGAAGCTGAGGTCTAAGCAAAATGGTGAAGTAAGTGAAAAGAAATCTCTAAAGTTTTCCTCTTCATCCATAGACTGATTTAACTTATCCTTCACAGTTAATCCTGTACCATCACTTTTACCCAGGCTGTCCCTGTCAGGTTGGGAAATGAACAGAAAAAGGTATATATAGATTAATATGTTACCCCTAGAAACATCTATATTTTAAATGAGAATGGTAACCAAAAAGACAGTGTTTCATCCAAAGGAATAAATCTCTAATGGTTGAATGTGAGGCACTGTGGAGAGATTTTGTTATCTCTTTGCACCAAAAAAGTCATCTCTCATAGCTTTTAACAGAAGGCCCAGCCAGCTTTTTCTCCTTCTGCTCCCCCACCCCAACCTTTTCTCTCTGGTCTATGCAACTGACCACACTCTGAAATGCACCTACTGTGCTTTCCTTTCCTCTATGCCCCTCAGCAACCACACTTTTAAGTTTACAGAATCTTTCTTTCTGACCCTAAACTCAATGATGACGTTCTCCTCCCTCCCTATACATACATGCTTAACAAAAATCAAGCTAGCCACCATGTAAGTACCAGAATTATAGCTCTTTACACTAATTTATAATTGACAAAGTGTTCCCATCCAACAGGTAACGGGAGGAAAATGAGATGCAGTAAATTACCTGAGGTCACAGGACTAACTGGCAGCAGGATTCAGACCCAAATACAGACCCCTGGCTCCCAGCAACCCAAGGACTGTTCTGAAAACTACAGAAGAAGAACCTGAAGACCAGAATGACACTGCCATGGAAATGCCCTAAGGCCCCACACCTACACCTCCAGGCCCACAGACTTCCCAGGGACCAAAGGCAAATCATACCTACAGCCAGCACTGGTACCCTCACTTTCACTGGGGTTGGGGGAAGGAGATGGAAGACAGAAGTACTGTGCTATCTCAGGCCCCGAGATAGCCCCTGATTTAAGGGGACCTTAAATACTTCAGACAAATCCCACCCTGAGCAGAACAGGACCCAGAGTACTGTTTCCACATCCAGATTCAACCTTGAAAAACCATGAGATAGGGGAAGAAAGAAGAGCCCAAGAAAGCAAAAAATTGGGGCAGTAAAACCATGTTGTTTCCAGATTTCTTAATCCTCCCTGAAGACAGCTCACATAAAAGAGCATTCTAGGCTGCTGTGAAAGAAGGGGAACCACCACATAATTTTTGGGTTTTCACTGAAATCCCCTACTATGATTTAACCATACACCCACCAACATCCTTTCCTCCCATTAGACCATCCCTACTAGGGCTTCTTCTTTGGCCCACAACAGAGCTGCCTTGCCCGTCCTGGGCCAGCCCCTCCTGACACCACACAATAAAGCCTTTGTAAGAGCTGGCACTCCTTCCCCGCTGGGGAGAGCCCAAGACCTGGGAAGAGATTCTCTGCCCTAAACCAGGAAGGAAGCACCTTTCAGCCCTGAGTGCTTCACCATGGAGGAGGAGGTGGTAAAGGGGAATAGGAGAACTGGAAAGAGTTACTGAGAAGGGCCACCCATTTCTGAGAGTGCAGTCCTGTCAGTGGCCCCTCTTAAAACTCTTTTCCACATCCATGTGAAATGCTTTCATCTGAGAGCTGGGCAAGTGGCCCCAGCTCTCTAGGGCACCCCAGTGCCCACACTACCCTCCCCAGTTACACTGCATACCTAGAGATAACTTCCACACAAGGCATCCAAAGGCAGAAAAAGAAGCAGGCCCGAAGCTTATTCAATTACGATCATATCCAGAAGCCTTGTCAGCACAAAGGTGAGGCTGTGGTCGCTGCTGCCCTGGGACAACCGTGCTTTAGCGGTTTCTTTCCGCATGGCCTACCGCTGCCTTGGCATAGCCTTGCTTCCAAAGTCCCGAACAGACATGTATGTACCCGTGTACACCGGTATACATATATTTATATACATTTCTGTGTATATATGCACATATATACTTACAGCGTCGGCTCTCGGTATCCTCTGGGGACTGGCTCCAGGACACACACGAATACGAACTCGTGGACGCACAAGTTCCTTACATAAAATGACCGTGGACGCACAAGTCCCTTACATAAAATGACCGTACCGTCTCCGGGTTCCGCCCCCGCGGGTTCCGCCTCCCACTGATCCGAAATTGACGCGTAATCCTTCAAGTGTGTGGCTAAATGGGACTACAAAGGAAAGGAAAAATAACAATACACTATACTTCTGTAAAACTTTCTACCTTTATCAAAAACTTTTACACCTATTATGGTATTGTTTCATTCCTAACTCATGAGGTAGATTGGACAGATGTTATTAGGAGCCGTATTTCACAGATAAGGAGATTAAACTTCAAATACAGTATGTTGGTTTGAGTCATAACTAGAATCCAGGTTGAATGACATCCATGTCGTCCTGCACCAAACAGATATTGCTTAGTAACTGTACAATTAAATATGGTGCAGTTTGAGATATAAAATTCCATGTTTTATTGATATAAACCCATTTTAAGAATTATTGTTGCTGATAATACCCCCTGCAGATCACTTTTTATCTCTATAATTAAAATTGGAGTAGAAGTGAGCAAAAATTATTTGGATACTACCTATCCTAAAAGAGCCATTTGATCTATTACTCTCAACCCTACCTGCATATTAGGAATCAACTAAGGATCTTTTTAAAAATATCAGTGCCTGGGCTTCACAACCCTGAGCATTTGAAGTAGACTATCTGGCGATGGACAGAGCAAAGCAATTTTTTAAAGCTCCTTGTTGGATGTTAATATGCAACCACAAACTTAGTTGGCACGGGAGTATACAGTGTCAACCAATGCCAGATCATTTTGTACATTTTGTGCATGTACATGTCCCAGGTCTATAATCCAAATGTCCCCAAGTTTACCGGCTATTCAGGGGTCACCCTTTTCATCAATACTCAAATAAAATGACTAGAGCTACCATCTAACATATGCTGAGAAATCCAATCATCTCCCTGATATTTTTAAGGAGTCTAGGAACCATGTTCTCTTGGTTCATATCACTCCAACTTCCTGCTGTTGCTGGTTTCTCAGTCCTACTTACCATCTTGCTTTCTGCGAAAGCTGACCTTTTTCCTCATTCTATCCCCTCACCTTTGGCCACCACCTTCCTACCTCCTTTCAACACCCAAAGCAACTGTATCATTACTACTTCATGGAACAAGCCTTTACTAAAAGCTTAGGTTTAATAGAAGAACACTACCAATGCTAAAGAAAAACTTATCACCGGGTATTAGGCATTACTCTTCTTGAAGCTTCTCCATCCTGTCACAGGGGATTACTGCTGGCTGTTTTTTTTCCCTTAGCCAACAACAACTATTATGTTACCATATTCAACCAGACTTTTCTATCATCCTTTGTCTTCTCTCAGTCCCAGGGGTCCTCACCATTTTTCTACCAAGCTACCACCCAAGCAAGCTCACATTCACTTAATTTTTTTTTTTATTTTAACCGAAATGATCCATCCAGTATTTTCCTAAACAAAAACTTCATTACCTTTAACACCTGGCAGAAGCTTTGAAGTTACTGTTTTTCTTTGATCTGTCACAGACTGAGTTTGTAGACTGTGATCCCTTCCCTCACCACTTTCTTATGTATATATTTATATATGTAATTTATATAGGTGTGTGTGTGTGTATATATATACACATATATATGGGTATATATATGCATATATGTGTATGTATGTGTGTATATGAGTATATGAGTATATATGTGTGTATGTATATGCATATATATACATATATATATGCATATATATGTATATGTATATATGTGTGTGTGTGTATATATATATGTGGCAGGCAATCATTGGCTGTCATGTGGAAGACTGGTTAGAACCTTAGGAAACAAGGGACATGACAGGCAAGTTTTGGAGAGTCCATAGGAAGAGACAACTCCAAAACATGTGGAGACATCTTGAGAGAATTAGGCAATTTCAAGGAGCAGCCAGAAAAGGCTAATTGGTGGGCCAAATGTGAAGTGCTTGAGCCCTGAACCATTAGAGAATGTCCCAAGGCCAATTTCATTTAAGGCAACCTAAGATCTTTCCTCAAGCAATCAAAAATATTTACCAGGAGGGGACCTACGCTCCCACGGAAGCTGTGCAGTGCCAGACACTGAGCTGGGTAGTTTTATCACAAGCCTTCAAGATAGGGTATGATGGAATTCTCTGGCCAAGATGCCTTCCAGACATCCCATCTATCTCCAAATTACAAAATCGTCCTAATCGGTTTTTGGCAACGAAGGAAGGCAGCCTCCTACTCATGACCTTCAGGGTATTAACTAGCAAACCTGGCAATTCTGGACTGTATGCAGTAGTATCTATTGCACTGCTTGGCAGAGTACATAACCAAATCAGGACGATTTCAGAAACAGGGTATCTTGCCATGAGGGATGACCTAGAATTGGGGAACTACAAGAGAACTAAATAAGTCATCTACTTCACCGCTTCATGAAATAAAGGAACTGGGGTCTTTTGGACGCTCTTGGATTCTTAGTTGCAGAGTTGAGGCAACTTGTCTCCTGGTTTCCTGTTGTGGGATGTTTTGTGAACACACAAGCTGTCATAAAGTGTACCTTTAATTAATCTTTATTCTCCGCAATAGTAGAAGAAGCCTTAAGATGTGAAATGAACTATATTTCAATAACAAAATCATGATGGAAAAGAAGTATGTTTCCTGACACAAGTGCCGTTTCCTTTCTGGCTACACTGCCATCTTCTTCTCTCTTTCTCCCTGATACCATATCTGTCTACCCACCCACCCCCTACCCAATATATATCGCAATGCCTGAAAACAGAGCCTCTCTTCTGACAACTGCCCATGAAAACTGCCTAGAAAAAGGCAATGATTCAGTCTGACCCCAGGATGAATTAATAACAAAACACAGAGCCCTGAACAAAACATGGCCTTAGTTTTGTTGACTTAAGAGATTTTATCCCAGCATATTTTCTAAACTTTATCACCTCTAGATCTGCTACTTGCTCTGCTAAAAATGTGAAAAAAGGTAAATCAGTGCCAACCTTACCTATTAAACCATAAACATAAATTTTCCAGCATTTTTTTTTTTTTTTTTTTTTTTTGCGGTACGCGGGCTTCTCACTGTTGTGGCCTCTCCCGCTGCGGAGCACAGGCCCCGGATGCGCAGGCTCAGCGGCCATGGCTCACGGGCCCAGCCACTCTGAGGCATGTGGGATCTTCCCGGACCGGGGCTTGAACCCGTGTCCCCTGCATCGGCAGGCGGACTCTCAACCACTGTGCCACCAGGGAAGCCCATAATTTCCAGCATTTTGATAAAATACCAGGCAATCCTCCAAGGAAGTTTACCTCAAACACACACACACACACACGCACACACACAAAAGTATAAACTTTCCAAGCTGGGCACAGTGAAAAATGACAGTGAATTGAGTGGGAGTCAGGAGGCCTAGATATAGTGTCAGCTCTTTTGCTGACTGACATAAGACACCATCCCAGTGGGCCTTGCTTACCTTACCTGAGATCAAGAAGCAGACTAAGAATCCCTAAAGTTCCTCCATCCACAAGTTTCTTTGACTCCATATAATCATACAGATATCCTCTGTGATATCCTGAGTGATGTGACTTAGGTTAGGTCATCAAAAAGGATGGACATGCCTCCCTGGGTTACCCTGGCAAAGCATATTAAGAAACTGAATGTTGATAAGAAAAATTAATGTTGAAAATTAGGGTCACCCTACTTGCCCAGGAACCTGCTTTACTTGGAAGGAAAACCTCAGAAGCTCAGTGGCCATGGGTCATTATTGAGGCTGTGGGATTCTTCCCTCACAAACCAAGTGTTGCCTTGCCCAGCACATCAGGGGCCTCTTCTAATACTGGCTCAGAGGGCACTAACCCCCTACACTCTGTTTTCCTTAAAATTTTCTTTATAAACATTTAACTACATCCCACCTCTGCTTATCTTAAATGAATGGACCAGGTATGGCTCCTCTTGGTCCACAGCCAGAAAAATAAGGAGACAAACAATTCATGGCTACTTTATGTCTTTCTGAGGAAGGAAGAAGCAGCAGAAGAGAAGACTCAAATAGGAAGACGGCATTGGAAATAATGGAAGAACCAAAGGGGGAAAAAAAGTACTCATAACTTTTGGCTATTACTAAGTCAGGAATAGGTAGTCAATTGGGAAGGAACCAAGCAGTGGTCTGTCTACTATTTATATGTCAGATTAATTATGGAAGCTGATGGGTAAGTTGTATGATTTGCCTAACAGAGTACACACTTCTCAAGTGCATGCATTCAAGAGGCCCTAATACTCAACACATAATTTGGTGCATGGCACTCTGGCAACCTTCCAACATGCCTCAACTTCAGATATAACAAAAATGTTGAAATCAGTGAGGCCTTAAAGAAGTGACCACATCACTGATAGTAGAATATTTAGATGTGTTCTTGCTACAACAAAGCTCAAAGGTGGCAGAGGAGGCGGAAGTTCTGTTGTGCTTTTCCCTTTCTCCCTTTCATCTCAGAACTTGAGCATACAGAGTGTTGTGGACGGAATGTTTGTGTCCCCCGCCCCGCAAATTTATATGTTGAAGCCATAACTCCCAATGTGATGCTATTTGGAGGTGGGGTATTCGGGAGATACTTAGGTTCAGATGAGGGCACGAGGATGGGGCTCCCATGATAGGATTAATGTCCTTATAAGAAAGGGAAAAGAGATTAGCACTCTCTCAAAGAGGTCATGTGGGGCTTCCCTGGTGGCGCAGTGGTTGGGGGTCTGCCTGCTGATGCAGGGGACGCGGGTTCGTGCCCCGGTCCGGGAGGATCCCGCGTGCCGCGGAGCGGCTGGGCCCGTGAGCCATGGCTGCTGGGCCTGCGCGTCCGGAGCCTGTGCTCCGCAACGGGAGGGGCCGCAGCGGTGAGAGGCCCGCGTACCGCAAAAAAAAAAAAAGAGGTCATGTGAGTGACAGCAGCTTACAAGCCAAGAGAAGAGGCCTCAGAACTAAACTTACTTTGCCAGGACCTTGATCTTGGACTTCCCGGCCTCCAGAACTATGAGAAATACATTTCTATTGTTTGAACCCCCCAGTCTGTGGTATTTTTTTATGGGAGCCCAAGCTGACAAATACACCGAGACCCAGAAGTCACAGTCCTTCAGTTAAATTCTTTACCA